GTTGTAGGGCTTTTAGGGATTGCAGAGCTTCAGCGTTCGTGCAGCTGAAACCCCAAACCCCACACCCTAGACCCGGCTTTGCCACAGAGACTTGGGATTGGGGAGGCTCAAGTTGATCTACCCCCCCCCCCCTCCCCCCTTAAACGCGAGCCCACTTTTTCCAAAGGCCTGTGTGTGGGCCTGTTTGCCCCCCCCCCCCCCCTCCCATCCCATGTGCCTGAAGACCAGCTTTCCGCAAGGAACAGCAGCGCCACGCCGGCGCCGGCCTCGTTGTCGAAGGGAGGGGCTATTCGGGTTTAGTGTTTGGGGAACCCTAAACCCCTAAACCCTAAACCCGAACCCGTAAACCCAAAATCTTTGGGGGTTGGGCGGTAATTATAGGGCTTAGGGTGAGGGCTCGAGGGTGGATCTTGGGACTTACAGTGGTAGCTCCTTCAGGTTTAGGGTTTGGCCGGTGCTCAGAAGTTATTGCAGGATCCTTTGGCTCGTTCTACATGAGCCCCCCCCCTCACCCTCTCCTCTTTCCACATATGGCATTGGATCCTGTACCACTCTAACTACCTGGGGGGGGGGGGGGGGGGGGGGGGGGGGGGGGGGGGGGGGGGGGGGGGGGAGAGGAAATCCCAGAGTTGTAAGTCAGGTTGTTCATGGAGCAGATATAAAAAACCCAAAGTGCCCAAAAAGGCGCCGAATTGGCCATCAGATGGTCCGAATTCCCGAACCCTAATTCAACCCCTAAAGCAAACTGCAGATGCTAACCCCACGCTTTAAATCCCAAACCCTCAACCCTCAACAGCTTGATCTTCTTGCAGACCCAACGGATTCCATGTAACGTCTTAGGAAGCCATAGCCTGAAACCCTAAACCCTAAACCCTGAACCCTAAACCCTCCCTGAGGAAGGTCTGCGGGGAGGACTTGGGGATGGGAGGGCCCCATGTATTGAGTCTCCCTAACGGTTTCCTTGCTTTGGGGTTATAGGGCTTCTAGAAAAGGGGATTTGGGGGTTTTAGGGTTATGGGGTTTATGGGCTTTTTGTGTTTGTATGGTGTTTTGAGTGTTTTTAAAGCTCTGGGTTACCCTTGACCTTGTTTGCTACAGCCAGGACTGAGACGCGCGCCGTCAAAACTCCTCTGAGTAGCGTCATCGCCGTGCCTGGTGGCAGCTCCCACTGAGCCCTATGCCACAGAAATTCCCCTAAGACTAAAACCCTATCCCTATAAGGGTACATGTGCCTAAACAGGTCTACTTGACTTGTGCCTTAAAGTACCTCCTATATACAGACTCTGGGGCCCAATCAAATATAAGAAACAAAAAGGTGAATGGACCCTTAGGGTATCATCCCTAAACCTTCAGCATCGAACCTGTATGAGCCCTAAAACCTCTTGGGCCTTAGAACCCTCAGTGCTAAGCTCTGCCAACTCATGGAGCTCGATGCGAAAAACCTGCTGGCCTCAAGCCAGCATTTAGGGTTGAGGGTTTTGGGTTCAGGGTTCAGGGTTTAGGGTTTAAAGCTTAGAGTTTATAATGAGGTTTACGGATGTTTGGGGTTCAGAGTTGTGTGACACGCTGCGCCCCTGCGTCCGGACGCCCCAGAGCAGCCAACAAACAGAACCGCAACTCCGAATCTCTAAACCCTGTTGAAAGCTAGGGTTGAGTTTAGGGTTTAGGGTGCATAAAATGACCTCAGTCAAGGCATTTCACAGTCGTCAGAAGGATTGCACGCAGCCCTAAGCTCCAAAAGCATAACAGTCCGGGTAGCTTACCCCGACTAGGACGCTTAGGTCCACACAAGGGCCTTGTAGCTAAGGGTTCAGGGGGTTTAGGGTCAGGGTTTGAGGGTTTGTGCCTTAAGGGTTTGGGGCTGAGGGTCTAAGGATTTGTGTTTTAAGGCGTTTCGGGCTTCGGGTTTTAGGATTTGTACCTTAAGGGCTTTGGGCTTAAGGTTTTAGGACTTGTGTTCTCAAGGGCTTCGGGTTTAAGCTTTGAAGATTTGTGCTTGCTCACTCGATGTAGGATTTGAAGTCTAGGTAGAAATCTAGGAAGCCGGGCTTATTTTTCTTAGAGCTCTAGAGCTGGCTCGAAGACTGTTAGGGTGTTTAGAACTTAGGGTGTTTTGGGGTTCAAGTCAAAGGTATCCGGTTCGACCTAATCCCTGAACTTGAAAACCCTGACTCCCAAGCCCTGCACGCTGGCCTCAACCGCAACCTGCCGCGGGTGACCCACAAAGGACTCCGATTTGAGCCACAATTCGTCAAGAGTTGCAATAGGATGTACTGTGGGCATCTTAAGTTTAGGATTTGACTGTAAGGGCCCTACCGTGGGGTAAACCTTCAAGGATAGTTGTTTCCCTCTTGTTTCCGAACCTTCGGCGTGGGTTGAATCTGAAACTTGCCTTGCCTTCCGTCGGCCGAAGATATCTGAAGTGCCCGGTGAAACTGCTTAGGGTTCAAGGTTTAGGGTTTATAGGTTACCATCTAACGCTGAAGGTTAGAAGGGTGCGGGATTGACGGCGTCCAAAGAACAGTTCCCAAAACTCACTAACCCTACGCCTAAACCCTCCACCTAGACCGATAACGGTTGACCCTAAACACCATCCGAAAAAATGTACCAAAATATAGGCCTCTTGACCCCGATAAGGGAAAACGTAGATCTCCCCAGGGCCTACGCTAAATAGCATCACATTCTTGACTGGTTGAAAGGCTCAAGGCTGTCTAGGAGTCCTGGGTCGAATGTTGTTTTGAAGAGAAGGGGGCGAGGGGAGGGGGTTTCAGGGTTTGGGGTGTTTGGGGTCAAGGCTTGTCGTGTCATCCAAGCATACTCTTTGTTCTCTTCCTCGTCTGCGCTTGTCACAGTATCAGCACGAAACAAAGGTAATTCGACACTCTGCAGGCTGTTGGGGAGCTGGATCCCCTCCAAGCTCTGGTGGTTGAAGTCGCGGCCAAACGTTAACGTTTGCAGCGTGCTGGGCAGCTGGATCCCCTCCAAGCTCTTGTTGAAATTTGTGCCAAATGTCAACGTTTGTAGGGTGCCGGGCAGCTGGATCCCCTCCATGCTCTGGTTGAACTCGTAGCCAAACGTCAACGTCTGCAGGGCGCTGGGCAGCTGAACCCCCTCCAAGCTCTGGTTGAACATGTTGCCAAACGACAACTGCTGCAGGGTGCCGGGCAGCTGGATCCCCTCCATACTCTGGTTGAACTCGTAGCCAAACGTCAACGTCTGTAGGGCGCTGGGCAGCTGGATCCCCTCCAAGCTCTGGTTGAACATGTTGCCAAACGTCAACGCCTGCAGGGTGCTGGGCAGCTGGATACCCTCCAAGCTCTGGTTGAACATGTTGCCAAACGTCAAAGTCTGCAGGGTGCTGGGCAGCTGGATCCCCTCCAAGCTCTGGTTGAAATTTTGGCCAAACGCCAACGTCTGCAGGGTGCTGGGCAGCTGGATCCCCTTCAATCTCTGGTTGAACTTCAAACCAAACGTCAATGTTTGCAGGGTGCTGGGCAACTGGGTCCCCTCCAAGCTCTGGTTGAACATGTAGCCAAACGTCAACGTCTGCAGGGTGCTGGGCAGCTGGATACCCTCCAAGCTCCGGTTGAACATGTTGCCAAACGTCAACGTCTGCAGGGTGCTGGGCAGCTGGATACCCTCCAAGCTATGGCTGAAGTCCCTGCCAAACGTCAACGTTTGCAGGGTGGGTGGCAACTGGATTGCCTCCAAGCTATGGCTGAAGTCCCTGCCAAACGTCAACGTTTGCAGGGTGCTGGGCAGCTGGATCCCCTCCAAGCTTTGGTTGAACATGTTGCCAAACGTCAAAGTCTGCAGGGTGCTGGGCAGCTGGATCCCCTCCAAGCTCTGGTTGAAATTTTGGCCAAACGCCAACGTCTGCAGGGTGCTGGGCAGCTGGATCCCCTTCAATCTCTGGTTGAACTTCAAACCAAACGTCAATGTTTGCAGGGTGCTGGGCAACTGGGTCCCCTCCAAGCTCTGGTTGAACATGTAGCCAAACGTCAACGTCTGCAGGGTGCTGGGCAGCTGGATACCCTCCAAGCTCCGGTTGAACATGTTGCCAAACGTCAACGTCTGCAGGGTGCTGGGCAGCTGGATACCCTCCAAGCTATGGCTGAAGTCCCTGCCAAACGTCAACGTTTGCAGGGTGGGTGGCAACTGGATTGCCTCCAAGCTATGGCTGAAGTCCCTGCCAAACGTCAACGTTTGCAGGGTGCTGGGCAGCTGGATCCCCTCCAAGCTTTGGTTGAACATGTTGCCAAACGTCAAAGTCTGCAGGGTGCTGGGCAGCTGGATCCCCTCCAAGCTCTGGTTGAAATTTTGGCCAAACGCCAACGTCTGCAGGGTGGTGAGCAGCTGGATCCCGTCCAAGCACTGGTTGAATTTTTCGCCAAACGTCAACGTCTGCAGAGTGCTGGGCAGCTGGATACCCTCCAGGCTCTGGTTGAACATGTTGCCAAACGTCAACGTCTGCAGGGTGCTGGGCAGCTGGATCCCCTCCAAGCTCTGGTTGAAGTCATTGCCAAACGTCAGAGTTTGCAGGGTGAGGGGCAGCTGGATCCCCTCCAAGCTCTGGTTAAAATCATGTCCAAACGTCAACGTCCGCAGGGTGCTGGGCACGTGGATCCCCTGCAGGCTCTGGTTGAACTCGTAGCCAAAAGTCAACGTCTGCAGGGCGCTGGGCAGCTGGATCCCCTTCAATCTCTGGTTGAACATGTAGCCAAACGTCAACGTGTGCAGGGTGCCGGGCAGCTGGATCCCCTCCAAGCTCTGGTTGAAATTTTGGCCAAACGTCAACGTCTGCAGGGTGCTGGGCAGCTGGATCCCCTCCAAGCTCTGGTTGAATTTTTGGCCAAAAGTTAACGTCTGCAAAGTGCTGGGCAGCTGGATCCCCTCTAAGCTCGAGTTGAACTTGCCGCCGAATGTCAAGGAGACCACTTCCTTGAGAGCGCAGGCTTCTGCAGGATTCAAGGCTTTCTTCGCAAGTGCTTTGCGCAAACTCACTGCGGCTCGACCAGCGCCGAAACGCCTCACCACGTAAGCGACTTCGTCGTTCTCCACCTGCTGCAGCAGGGGCCGATGCAGATCGAGCAGGCTGCCGCCGGAGGTCAGTACGAGGGACTCCGCGGGGTGGCCGACTTTGGCTGCTACCTCTCTCACCACTTCCCAGCCCATGGCCACGTGGTCGACAGCAAGTTGCAAGCTGAAGCCTCCGAGCCCGTGGATGCTCAAGAGTCGCTTGCCTGCACCTCCGAAAGAAGGCGAGTCTGCGTGGCCGGATTCAGCGGGTACCTGCATTGGCGGATCAGGTCGCTGAGGTCGCTTGCGCTTGGAGACCAGGACGCGCAGCGTTGCGCGCGGCTGGCCAGGATGGCCGAGGGGCGCCGGTGGCGCCCGTTCCGCATGTTCCGCTTCCTGTCCCGCACGGTCTGCGACGGTGAGCGCGAAGTCCAACGCGGATCGTGACGTCGCCCCGCGATGCGCCGACATGTGTCGGAGAGCGTTGCTGCCGAGCTCTCCGATGGTGGCGCACTTCAGGTGCAGCTGCTCCAGATGAGCGCAGGCCTCCTTGGACAAGTCGGCCGCCAAAGCGACGGCGTCCTCATCCCGCAAGCTCTCGCACTCGACCTGAAGCTCCCGGGCGCCAGACTCCACCACGGTCGGGACGAGTTTCCAGACGTGCTCCGGGAGGGCGTTCACGACCAGCTCCTGCAACTTGTGGTAGGAGGGCAGCGCCGCAAGCAACACCGCCAGGCCCTCGGCGTCCAAATCTTCGACCAGGAGCCTCGTTGTGGAGGAAACTTTTTGGTGGAAGACCTTCTTCTGCAGCTCGAAGACGGTCTCCGAGTCGTCCTGGTGGGTGAACTTGAGCTGCCGCATCTGCGACCGGAACATCTCGGGAGGGAGCGGCACGGAGGCGCCCTTCAACGAGGCCCGGAGGGCTGCCCACTGCCTCTCGGCCTGGCACCACCCCCTTGCAGCGTAAGGGGTGAAGTTCAGCTTCAGCTCCCAGATGGGGATGTCCATGACCGTTTGCTCTGCATCCCAGTACACGGGGATCCGAGAAGAGCCTGCCACGCATCCATCTCGCACGCTCTGCGGGGTCAGCTCTTCGATGCGATGGACCTTGATGGCCTCATGCGCGTAGAGCACGTGCATGTCCTTGAGCGCCCGCCGGAAGAGGCTCTCCTGATCCGGATCTCGGCGGTACTGGTGGAGGGAGACGAAGTCCAGGAAGATCCACACCAAGGAGTCGAGCTGTTTGGGGCGGTATGCGTCAACGATGTGGTCCAGCTGAAACCTGTCATCACCAGGGTTGAGGCTAGGCGGCGTCCTACAAATTAAACACAGTTGTCAAAAATCTCTTGTGGGGATTGCTGCAGGACGCTACGCAGGTGTTGGAGGCGCCATAATCTTCTTCGCCGAACCGGAAAAGCCCCCGCCTCCAGGGGTCCGGGTGCTGCATGCTCTCCCACACGTGGCTCACGGAGACGATGTGGACGGTGACCCGCATCGGCGATGGGCTCCTGACCATCGTGGACATGTGGGCCGTCACGCCGTCGATCATCACGTCCTTGAGCCTAGGAGGGCCCTTAAAATCCCTCTGAACAATATTCCTACAAGTAGTGAAAAAATATTGCTATAAGTTATGATCCTCTTCAAACCCAGTAGTTCTGGGAAAAAGAATATCCCTTATGAGTGCCTATCCGAGGAGCTCGTCGACACCCACCAGGGCCGGCTGCCCCGAGGCCGTCCGCTCTTTCTCGGCCTCCTGACGCCGAGGGAGGACCCTCCCGGACTCGCGGAGCTCGATGAGGTACTCCAGCCGGACCAGGCGAACATCCACGTCGGAGAGGAAGGCGATCAGGCTCCGAGGCTCCGCCAGGTCGTAGCTGTCTGACTCACTTTCGTCGCCCTGTGCCTCCTGAGCAGCGCTCATGGCCAGGTCAAGCCTTCCTGGAGGTTTGGGTTCAGGTTTTACATGATGGGATGTTAAGAAGCTCAGCGCTGAACGCAGAATTCAAAGCTTTGTCAGCTGTATCTCATGGACATGCACAAGGCTTCCGGGCACAGCTCGAGGTTTGAGAGTGCAACTGCACAAAGACAGCGCAGGCTTCACATTGCCGCAACACTTCTGGGATGCTGGCTGCTGAAGGTAACCCTAAACCCTAAACCCTAAACCCTAAACCCTATAAACCCTAAACCCTAAACCCTAAACAGCCCTATAGGATGAATTGAACAACAAATATATTATTGAGTTGTTCCAGATACCTGTCCCTTTTAAGGGACTCCCATGGACCATCCCTTGATGAAAAGACCTTTAGAGCACCCCTCATGCATTTGTTTTCCTGGGGCGCATGCTTGCACTTCAACGGCAGAAACGAATTAAGCAAGCTGCAAAATCCTAAAACCTAAAGCCTCTACCCTAAACTTAAGCCTTTAAAGGAGGTGTCAGGAAGCGGAAAAAGGGAAACAGGGTTCAGGGTTTGAGGTTCAAAGGGGTGGTTCCGAAATCTACATGCCAGAGCGCCAGGCACATGGCTTGACGAATTCACGTCGAATTCAGCCTCTTCTTGGAAAACTGTTTGAGGTGCCAATGGCATTTTATGGTTTGGGGTTTAGTGGCACAAGGACTCAAGGCCAGGGCTTATAGTAGGTTTGGACGCATCTGGTCCCAAACTTGTCCAATAATGTCTAGTAAAACCTGAGAGCAGGATGTATGCTTCACGAGAAGCCTAAACCCTGACAAGCCTCTAACCCCCTTGAACCCTCAACTTTCATAACCCTTAAAGTCTAGAAACCCGAAGGCTCAAGTCCTCACCCTTCGGTTCGCCAGCAGTCGACGTGCACACCATATAAGCCCTAAAACCCTGGGACCCGAAAACCCAGCATTTCCTACCAACGGCTCCTATGTACTGGGGTACTGTACGAGAACCCCTATAACTAACCCAAAAAGGAACTACGTTGGAGCCTTCAGGGGCCCAGAGGAAAGCAAAAGCGTACGCATGAGTCACGCATGAGACAAGGCACCCTTGTTCTCTGAAGGGGCATACAAGGGGTTTAGGGTTTAGGGTTTAGGGATTAGGGAAGGGGCATACAAGGGAACCTGGCCCCTAAAACAAGGGAATACGAGTTTCCTCTGGACGTTTTGAAGTTTTAGGCCCCGTGGTGTTGTAGGATAGTAGGGGCATTCCCGGGATTGCCGGGCTCAAGTCGAAGAAGCTGCGCCCGTTCCGGTTCATAGGGTTGAGGGTTCATGAGGATTTAAGGAAACTGTTCACAACATCTTACGTAGTTATCTCCCATCAAAGATGTGCAATTCAGGCATGGTTGTCGGAATTTCTGGTTTTGAGAATTTCTGGGACCCACTTTACCTACAGTTTTATGTGTGAAACCTACTAAATAATTAGTAGGTCAGTAGGTTCCCAGGAAAAGGGCTTACAAGGACCCTGCAGTTTCCAAGAAAAAAACAAACGACGAAAGAGCTGTACAGGCCACGCCCTCTCAGGCAACGGGCTCAACAAAACTGTCGTCCATCCTCCCCCATGAGGTCCATCTTCCTGGCGCTGAAATGCGTAACATCCTGCTGGTTAGCACCATTCCCAAATTGTCCCAGGAACCAGTAACAAGCTCCACACGCCACACGCCACCCCCTCCCCCCCCCCCCCCCAAAACGCTAAACACAATTCATCGAAACCTGGGCCCGACAAATCAAGAAAACACCCAAACCCTAAACGCTGAACCCTAAAACAACAGTACCGTGCCGTGAGAATTCAACAAGCCGGGTAACTCTGTATGCGAGGCTCGTGGCTCCCAGCTTGAAGCTTTGGGTTTTTTGTCGGTCTTGGGGTTTAGGGTTTAGGGCTTAGGGTTAGGGCCAAGTTTAGGGTTTAAGGCTTAGGGTTTCGGATGTTTTGGGGATTTAGGGCTTTAGGATTTTGGGGTGCTAAGGGGTTCGCGGGACTTCTCTTTGTGACAGGACCCTGTAGTACAAAAGAAAGGGGGCTTGTATGAGAGGGTTCGGGGATTTCTCTGGTTGCCGGCAGCTGAAACCCCAAATCCTAAGCCCTTGTCCCAATTGTTCCACAGGGACTTGGGATTGGGGAGGCTCAAGTTGATCTACCCCCCCCCCCCCCTCCCCCCTTAAACGCGAGCCCACTTTTTCCAAAGGCCTGTGCGTGGGCCTGTTTGCCCCCCCCCCCCTCCCATCCCATGTGCCTGAAGACCAGCTTTCCGCAAGGAACAGCAGAGCCACGCCGGCCTCGGCCTCGTTGTCGAAGGGAGGGACTATTCGGGTTTAGTGTTTCGGGAAACCCTCGACCCTAAACCTTAAACCCTAAACCCTAAACCCGAACCCCTAAACCCAAGACTTCCAAAACCTTTGGGGGGTTGAGGGTTCAATCCTCTGAAGGGCCTTCTTAAGGGACTATCGGGTGGTAATTATAGACCTTCTTAAAAAAAGGCTCGAGGGTGGATCCCGGGACTTACAGTGGTAGCTCCCTAAGGTTTAGGGCTAAGGGTTTAGGGTGAAGAGCAGCCAGTGCTCAGAAGTTATCGTAGTATCCCTTGGCTCATTCTACATGACCCCCGACCCCCCCCCCCCCCGCACCCCCTCCTCTTCCACATATGGCAAGGGATCCCCCCAAAAACAACCAAACAAGGCCTGATTATGCGTGGGTTGTTGAGCCTCATGTTTGGGAGGCGGCCGTAGGGTTTAGGGTTGGGGGGCGGGGGGGGGGGGAGAAAAGGGTGCCAAATTAGCCATGAGTTGGTCCCATTCCTGAACCCCAATCCGTCGAGGCCTCGGGCCGAAGGTGCATAGGTTGTGAGAACAGGCCAAATCCCTTCCCCCCCCTCCTGCCCCCCCCCCCCCCCCTGCCCCTGCTGCTTGAGGGGTTTGGCTCGAACCCTTGAACCTGAACCCTAAACCCAAAAACCCTAAACCCAACCGTGAACCTTCAGCCTTAAGCCCTCAACCCTTATCAACCCTTAACTTACCCTCAACCCTAAACCCCAAACCATAAACCCGGAACCCCAACCCTAAACCCTAAAACCCTAAACCCTAAACCCTAAACCCTAAACCCTAAACCCTACCTAACCCTAAACCCTACCCAACCCTTATTGCTTGGGGTAGCGACTTGGGCGCAGCGAAAACACCATGCTGACGCGGATGCGCTGGGCCGGGCCGAGGCGGGTCGCGTAGCGTTAAAATTAACCTCCTAAAACAGACTGCAGATGCCAAACTCGGCACCTTAAACCCTTTTACTCTGAATCCCTCTATAGCCTGATCTTGCAGCCCCAAAGGGTTCGATGTAAGGTCTCGGCCTCCAATCCTAAACCCTAAACCCTAAACCCTAAACCCTAAACCCTAAACCCTGAACCCTGAAACCCTAAACCCTAGGAAGGTCTGAGGAAAGGACTTGGGGATGAGACGGCCCCATGTATGGAGTCCCCGAATGGTTTCCCCTGCTTAGGGCCTATAGGGTTTCTAGGGCTTCTAGGGCTTTCTAGTGTACATCGGGTGTATGGGCTGTTTCAGGTTTATGATATGGGCTTCTTCTAGGGTGTATGTTCTTTTCTTTTCAATAAGGCTTTTAAGGTGTTTAGGGCTTTGGGTTCCCCTAGCCTTCGTGCTACAGGATGCTCCCAGCACCAGGACTGAGATGGGCGCCGTCAAAACTCCTCTGAGTAGCGTCATCGCCGTGCCTGGTGGCGTTCACACTGACCTCTATGCCCGGGATTCCCTTGACAATAAAGCTGCTAAGCTCTATCCTAAACCCTATAATAAGCCCTGAACCCTACTCCAAGCCCAAACCTTTCCAAAAGGATTTAGGGATTTAGGGTTGAAGGATTATAGTAAGGTTTAGGATGTTTTGGGTTCAGGGTTCGGTGACATGCTGCGCCTTCGCGTCCGGACACAGCCCTACGCCGCCTAAATGTAAAAATCCGGGTAGCGAACCCCCACTGGAATGCTTAGGACTCCACACTAGGGCCTGGCAGCTAAGGGTTTAGGGTGTTTAGCGCGCAGGGCTTGAGGGTTTCGGCTTTAAGGATGTTTAGGGAGTAGGGTTTTAAGTGTTTGTGCTTTAAGTTTAAGGCTTAGGGTCTAAGGATTTGTGCTTTAAGGCGTTGCGGGATCAAGTGTTTAGGATTTCTGCTTTCAAGGGTTTAGACCGTTGAGGTTTTGGGTTTTGGTCGAAGGTTTCCAGTTCGACCTAATCCCTGAACCTAACAGCCCTGAACCCCAAGCCCTGAACAATGGCCTTAACAGCAACCTGCCGCGCGTGACCCGCAAAGGACTGGGCCGATTTGAGCCACCATTTCGCGAAGAGTTGCAATAAAATGTACTGCGGGCGTCTTAAGTTTAGGGTTTAACCAGTAGAAGCCCTACGGTGGTGTACTTTTTTATGATAATTGTTTCCCTGTTGTTTCTAAACCTTCGGCGTGGGTTGAATCTGAAACTTGCCTTGCCATCCGTCGCCCGAAGATATCTGAAGTGCCCGCTGAAACTGCTTAGGGTTCAAAGTTTAGGGCTTATAGGGTTCAGGGTTTAGGGTTTAGGGTTTAGGGATTTAATGCGAAAGGTTAGAAGGTCCGGGATTGATTGACGGCGTCCAAAGAACCCTTCCAAAAAATAGTCTCTACTTTAGGGCTAACCCTACGCCCAAACCCTCTAACCTAGACTGATAACGGTTGCACCATCCGAAAAAGCATACCCAAATATAGGCCTCTTAAACCCCATGAAGGGAAATCTAAGTCTCCCAAAAAAATTACCTTAATAAAGGCCTCTCAAAGGCCTCTTAAACCCGATATAAAGGGAAATGTAAATTTCCCAAGGGCCTGCCCCGGTTCCTGAATAGCGTCACATTCTTGAATGCTTAAAGGGCTTGAGGCTTTGTGGGAGTCCTAGGTCGAATGCTTTTTTTGAAGAGAAGGGAGGAAGAAAGGTATTTAAGGGCTTGGGGTGTTTAAGGCTAAGGCTCGTCGTGTCATGAAAGCATACCCTTTGTTCTATGCCTCGTCTGCGGTCGTCGCGGTATCTACACGAAACAACCCTGACCCTAAATCGACACTCTGCAGGCTGTTGGGGAGCTGGATCCCCTCCAAGCTCTGCTTGAAACTGTTTTCGAACTTCAACGTCTGTAGGGTGCTGGGCAGCTGGATCCCCTCCAAGCTCTGGTTGAAGTAGTTGCCAAACGCCAACGTCTGCAGGGTGCTGGGCAGCTGGATCCCCTCCAAGCTCTGGTCAAATTTGCTGCCAAACGTCAACGTTTGAAGGGTGCTGGGCAGCTGGATCCCCTCCAAGCTCTGGTCAAAGTTGCTGCCAAACGTCAACGTTTGAAGGGTGCTGGGCAGCTGGATCCCCTCCAAGCTCTGGTCAAAGTTGCTGCCAAACGTCAACGTTTGAAGGGTGCTGGGCAGCTGGATCCCCTCCAAGCTCTGGTTGAAATTGTCGCCAAACGTCAACGTTTGGAGGGTGCTGGGCAGCTGGATCCCCTCCAAGCTCTGGTCAAAGTTGCTGCCAAACGTCAACGTTTGAAGGGTGCTGGGCAGCTGGATCCCCTCCAAGCTCTGGTCAAAGTTGCTTCCGAACTTCAACGTCTGTAGGGTGCTGGGCAGCTGGATCCCCTCCAAGCTCTGGTTGAAGCAGATGCCAAACCTCAACGTCTGCAGGGTGCTGGGCAGCTGGATTCCCTCCAAGCTCTGGTTGAACATGTCGCCAAATGTCAACTTCTGCAGGCTGCTGGGCAGCTGGATCCCCTCCAAGCTCTGGTTGAAGTCGAAGCCAAACGTCAACGTCTGCAGGGTGCTGGGCAGCTGAATCCCCTCCAAGCTCTGCCCTGGGAATCCAAGCCCGTTTAGGAAACCGCCTTTGCCGCTAGTTGGTTTTGGTGCCCCTAACGCCTATTTGGGGGCGATGATGCGCACCTCTAGCGCCCAAAGATGTGTAGATGATGACCGCAAAGGAAAGAAGAGCTGAGACTTCAGCTCTGTGGTCCACAATGAAAAAAACATGCATTCATTCACATTTGACGATGTGTCTATCTATGTCGTGCCGACCCTGGTCCCAACAGACATGATACTCATCGCACAAAAAACTTTGGATGTTCGCGGCCACCTGTTGCCTGATGCTTGCCATGGGTTTGGATGACAATTGCAGTCCCACATGATGCCCTCCAGCTGCAAAATTGCGAACTAAAAAAACACTGCTAGTTGGGAAGCTGCTCTCTGGCCCAAATAGATTCTGTGCTCAATCTGAAGATCTACATCCATCAAACAAGGATCACTGGCAGGTACTTGCATCATGAAGCGTGCTTTGAGGGAACGTCTTGGCCTCACGTAGGGTGGACAGCCCAAGCTATCGCGTGTGTCTGTGTGCCAGCATTTTTGGCGTGCTCACGTTGCTTTCGAACTTGCTGCAATGACATACGATGATTGTGGCGATCGCCTGTTCCAAGGAGCACTAGTGATCACACCACCGTGTTCGTGATTCACGCTCATGTGGGGCCTAATTGTGGTCTAGTTTTTTGCAGAGGTGTTTCGGCCTTATAAGGGAAAACAGCCGTGAAAGGGCGTGAATCACGCGTGAAAACTGCGTGAAAACAGGTTTTTTCGCGTGAAAGCAGGTTTTTTCGCGTGAACGCCCGTTTCGGGATTTGACTGTTTTCACGACATCCTCTATCAGTAAAATCACACCAAAACAGACGTGAATCACACGTCAGTCTTGCGTGCACGCGCTTAGTCATGCAACAAGACTTTATGTTCTGCTGCTTGGCCGCAGACGTTTTTGCAGTGGCGCTACAAGCTTGACTCGTTTTGTGGGCTGGCTGACGTATTATGCCTGCCTCTTTGGGCAAAGATGCCCAAGCTGCTCTTGCCAGGGCTGCAAAGATGACTCAGAATTCGAAGCAGGCTTGGCTAGATTTCGCTGAAACCATTGTGTTGTCCTATTGTGAGTTGGTGAATATGCAGAGGCCTCACAGGTACCCTGTCTTTTGTGCTTATTTGTCGTCACTTTTCTCGGGAAGGCTCCGGGCACTGAAATTGAAGATGAGCAAGAGCCTGGGATTGCATGTCTGAAAAATGCCACGAATTTGATATCGAAACTTGTATGGTCTCGATCTGATTTGGTATCTGAAGCACAACAAGACCGCAAGAAAACGAAGGCGCTGCAGTGGCCACTGATGGATCAGAAGCTTTGGCAGACTAAATGACACTTCTCCTCGGCAACATGTGCAAAGACCTCTCCAAACCTCAGGAAAAAGGAGTGCGTGAATCACCCTCGCCTGTTTCGGGAACCGCCTTTGTCTTAGAGCCTGTTTCTAAAACCGGTGTTTGACTTCTAGGGTCTGGTTGAACCCACCTCCAAAGGTCAACGTCTGCAGGGTGCTGGGCAGCTGGATCCCCTCCAAGCTCTGGTTGAAGTAGTTGCCAAACGCCAACGTCTGCAGGGTGCTGGGCAGCTGGATCCCCTCCAAGCTCTGGTCAATTTTGCTGCCAAACGTCAACGTTTGAAGGGTGCTGGGCAGCTGGATCCCCTCCAAGCTCTGGTCAAATTTGCTGCCAAACGTCAACGTTTGAAGGGTGCTGGGCAGCTGGGTCCCCTCCAAGCGCTGGTTGAAGCCATCACCAAAAGTCAAGGTCAGCAGGGTGCTGGGCAGCTGGATCCCCTCCAAGCTCTGGTTGAAGTAGTAGCCAAACGTCAATGTCTGCAGGGATCTGGGCAGCTGGATCCCCTCCAAGCTCTGGTTGAAGCTGTAGCCAAACGTCACCGTCTGCAGGGTGCTGGGCAGCTGGATCCCCTCGATGCTCTGGTCGAACGCATCTCCAAAGGTCAACGTCTGCAGGGTTCTGGGCAGCTGGATCCCCTCCAAGCTCCTGTTGAAACTGTTTCCGAACTTCAACGTCTGTAGGGTGCTGGGCAGCTGGATCCCCTCCAAGCTCTGGTTGAAGTAGTTGCCAAACGCCAACGTTTGCAGGGTGCTGGGCAGCTGGATCCCCTTCAAGCTCTGGTTGAAGCCGTAGCCAAACGTCAACGTCTGCAGGGTGCTGGGCAGCTGGATCCCCTCCAAGCTCCGGCTGAAGCTGTAGCCAAAAGTCAACGTCTGCAGGCTGCTGGGCAGCTGGATCCCCTCCAAATTCTGGTTGAACTTGTAGCCAAACCTCAACGTCTGCAGGGTGCTGGGCAGCTGGATCCCCTCCAAGCTCTGGTTGAAGTTGTTGCCGAAGGTCAAGGACACGACTTCATTGAGAGCGCAAGCATCTGCAGTATTCAAGGCTTTCTTCGCAAACGTGTTCCGCAAACTCACTGCGGCTCGACCCGCGCCGAAGCCCCGCACCACGTACGAGACTTCGTCGTTCTCCACCTGCTGCAGCAACGGCCGATGCAGATCGAGCAGGCTGCCGCCGGAGGCCAGCACGAGGGACTCCGCGGGGCGGCCGACTTTGGCTGCTATCTCTCTCACCACTTCCCAGCCCATGGCCATATGGTCGACAGCAAGTTGAAAGCTGAAGCCTCCGAGCCCGTGGATGCTCAAGGGCCGCTTGCCGGCACCTCCGAAAGAAGGCGAGTCCGCGTGGCCGGATTGAGCGGGTACCTGCATTGGCGGATCAGGTCGCTGAGGTTGCTTGCGTTTGGAGACCAGGATGCGCAGCGCCGTGCGCGGCTGGCCTGGTTCGGCTTCCTGCCCAGGTACGGTGAGTGCGAGGTCGAGCGAGGCTCCCAGATGTACCGACATCTGCTGCAGAGCGTGGCTGCCGAGCTCTCCGATGGTGGCGCACTTCAGGTGCAGCCGCTCCAGATGAGCGCAGCCCTCCTTAGACAAGTCGGCCGCCAAAGCGACTGCGTCCTCATCTTGCAGGCACTCGCACTCGACTCGAAGCTCCCGGGCGCCAGACTCCACCACGGCCAGCGCCAGTTTCCAGGCGTGCTCCGGGACAGCGTTCACGGCCAGCTCCTGCAATTTGTGGTAGAAGGGCAGCGCCGCAAGCAACACCGCCAGGCCCTCGCCGTCCAAATCTTGGACCAGGAGGTTGGCTGTGGAGGAAGCCTTCTGGTGGAAGACCTTCTTCTGCAGCTCGAAGACGGTCTCCGAGTCGTCCTGGTGGGTGAACTTGAGCTGCCGCATCTGCGACCGGAACATCTCGGGAGGGAGCGGCACGGAGGCGCCCTTCAACGAGGCCCGGAGGGCTGCCCACTGCCTCTCGGCCTGGCACCACCCCCTTGCAGCGTAAGGGGTGAAGTTCAGCTTCAGCTCCCAGATGGGGACGTCCATGACCGTCTGCTCTGCTTCCCAGTACACCGGGATCCGCGAGCGAAAGGCCCAAGGAAGCCTCCGCCCAAGAAGGCCCCAACAAGGGTTTAGAACTCCCAGAAAAGGGCTTGGCATGCATCCATCTCGCACTCTCTGCGGGGTCAGCTCCTCGATGCGATGGACCTCGATGGCCTCGTGCGCATACAAAATGTGCATGTCCCGGAGCGTCCGCCGGAAGAGGCTCTCCTGATCCGGATCTCGGCGGTACTGGTGGAGGGATACGTAGTCCAGGAAGATCCACACCAGGGAGTCGAGCTGTTTGGGGCGGTATGCGTCCACGATGTTGTCAAGCTGAGACCTGTCTCTACTCATTGTAGGAGTTTTGGGGTCGGCGGGGTCCTATCAGTAAAATGCAACCGACAGACAAAAAAAGATGCGGGGATTGCTGCAGGACGCTATGCAGGTCTTGAAGGGAGCCATAACAAGCTTAAGTATAACCTTCCTCACCAAACCCGAAAAGCCCTCGCGCCTCCAGGGGTCCGGGTGCTGCATGCTCTCCTAGGATGGCCCCTAGACACTCTCTGAAACATATTCCTCAATATGATTCTCTTAAACCCAAGAAGGGACAATATAAAATAGGATCCTTATAACCCAATCTAGGGTCCTTATACCTCTACTTATAGCTAGGGGAGCCCCTCCTTGTACCTAGTCTCCCATACGTGGCTCACGGAGACGATGCGGACGGTGACCCGCGTCGGTGCTGGGCTCCTGACCATCGTGGACATGTGGGCCGTCACGCCGTCGATCATGACCTCCTTGAGCCTAGGATGGCCCTTAAAAACATATTCTGAAAATATATTCCTACAAGAATTCGAAAAATATTCCTATAAAGTATGAGCCTCTTCAAACCCAATATCTTCTAATGGACTATCCTAGGAGCATGTTCCCAGAATTATTATCCTCTTAAAACCCGATATAACTACTTAACAATAGGCAACGTCAGCCCAATGATTATAGGATAATACAAGAATATCCCTTCTGAGAGAGCCCATCCTAGGAGCTCGTCGACGCCCACCAGGGCCGGCTGCCCCGAGGCCGTCCGCTCTTTCTCGGCCTCCTGGCGCCGAGGGAGGACCCTCCCGGACTCGCGGAGCTCGATGAGGTACCTGGGACTCTAGATATACCTACAGTTTTGGGTTTTGGGTTTTGGTTTCATTTTGGGTTTAGGGTTCAGGGTTTTAGGGCTTGGGGATTTGCGGGTTTGAGGATATTTTAGGGTTTTTCCTGGGATTCTCTTTACCTGCAGTTTAGTAGTAACTACCCTTAATTAGTAGGTATAGCCCATAAAACTGTAGGTAAAGAGAGTCCCAGGTACTCCAGCCGGACCAGGCGAACACCCACGTCGGAGAGGAAGGAGATCAGGCTCCGCGGCTCCACCAGGTCGTAGCTGTCTGACTGCGCCTCCTCCTGGGAAGCGCTCATGGCCTGGTCCTGGCTGAAAGTGTCCTTTTGAAGCCTTCGGAGGTCCCAGGGTTCAGATTTCATGTGGATGGAAAGAAGTTCAGCATTGAATCTCGAATTCAAAGCTTTAAGCTGCATTATGGACATGGAGGCTTCCGGGCAAAGCTCGAGGTTTGAGAGTGCAAATGCACAAAGACAGCACGCACGCTTCACATGGCCCATATATGAACTCCTAGGATGCTGTCTGCGAAAGGTGCACCGGTAACGTCCTAAACAGCCCGAGGATGGAGGGTGTGAGGTTTGTTTACCTTGTGATATGCTAGGCTCTTAAACCCCTGTGAAAAATCTTCCTGAATATGATCATCTTAAACCCAAACAGGGAAACCATAGTATGTAAGTGTGCCTTTTCTGGGACTCCCATGGTCCATCCCTTGATGAGAAGACCTTTGGAGCAGCGCCTCTTGCATTTTTTTTGCCTGGGGCACGTGCTTGCACTTCAACGGCAGAAACGAATTAAGCAAGCTGCCAATAACCCAAACCCTAAATCCTAAACCCTAAACCCTAAACTTAAGCCTAAAAACCTTCAAAGGAGGGGTCAGGAAGCGGGTAAGGGCCAAGAAAGCAGGGTTCAGGGTTGAAGATCTAGAAGGGGTGGTTCCGAAATCTACATGCCAGAGCGCCAGGCACATGGCTTGACGAATTCACGTCGAATTCAGCCTCTTCTTGGAAAGTTGCTTGAATGGCATTTTAGGGTTTAGGGCTTTAGGTTCACTAGGGTTTAGGGTTTAGCGGTACAGGGCCTCAAGGTCAGGGCTTAGTGGGTTTGGAAACTTGTCCAATAATGTCTAGTCAAACCTGAGAGCAGGATGTATGTGAGAACCCTAAACTCTGAAAAACCTCTAACCCCCTTGAACCCCAAACCCTCAACTCTCTTAACCCTTAAAGCCTAGAAACCCTAAGGCTCAAGTCCTGAACCCTGGGGTTCAAAACTCTTAAAACGCCTTTACTATCCAAAGGCCCGTAGTATACTAGAATCCCCTATAACTAAGCCAAACAGGAACTATTTCCTCTGGACGTTTGACTCTGTGGTACCGTAGGACAGCATGGCATTCTAGGGCAAACTGGGCCACAACATCTTATACGCAGTTATCTCAGTTCTAAGACGTGCAATTCAGGCATGGTTTTCGGACTTTCCGGGCTTTCAGGTTTTGGAGTCGTAGGGCCTACAAGGACCCTGCAGTTTCCAAGAAAAACAAACAACGAAAGAGCTGTACACTCGCCGCGCCCTCTCAGGCAACGGGCTCAAAAAACTGTCGTCCATCCTCCCCCCTGAGGTCCATCTTCCTGGCGCGGAAATACGTATCCCTAAACCCTAAACCCTAAACTCTACACCGTTTCAGGCCCAAGTATATACTGTATAGGGATCCGTAGGTCCATCTTCCTGACGAGGAAATGCGTGCTGTAACATCCTGGTGGTTGTCGCAGGTAAAGAACCAGCTCCGTTTCTGAAAGCAAATTGCCCAAACACCACCCCACACCACCCCCAAGCGCTACACAACGTCATCGATACCCGAACCCTATAACCCTACCCTAAGGATCCATGTACCTATATGGTATATACTTTGGCCCTAAAGCTACTATATAGAAACCCGTTTCAGGCCCAAGTATGTACTATATAGGTACCTGGATCCTTAAGGCTACAGCTCAGAAATCCCTCATGACCCTAAAGCCTAAACCCTAGTATAAACCCTAAACCCTAAACCCTATTATAAACCCTATTATAAACCCCCTGAAGCCTAAACCCTAAACCCTCAAACAACAGTACCGCGCCATGAGAATTCGACAAGCCGGGCAACTCCGTCTCGTGGCTCCCATTTTCAGGCTTTGGGGTTTGTCGGTCTTGGGGTTTAGGGTTTAGGGTTTAGGGTTTAGGGTTTAGGGTTTAGGGTTTAGGGTTTAGGGTTTAGGGTTTAGGGTTTAGGGTTTAGGGTTTATTGTTTAGGGTTAGGGACTAGGGTTTCTCTTGATTTAGGGCTTTAGGGTTTAGGGTGCTCAGGGGTTTGAGGGACTTCTCTTGGCAGGACCCTGCACCACAAGAAACACTTTAAGTACGAAGACCTTCTAAACCTTTCGAACCTTCCGGAATACAAGCCAAAAACAGCCCACGACATATATACCCCTAAGGGTCCAGGTACCTACATAGTATATGCGTGGGCCCTAAAGCTACTCGAAAGGAGCCCCTTTAATGCTCACGTATATACTACACAGGTACATGGACCCTTAGGGTACTCTAAACCCGGAAGTTCCGTGGGAAACCTCGTCAAAGCTTCCCGCTCTCGGCGTAGCGGCGCGCCACACCGACGGTGCAGTCGTGCACCTGTAGCTTATATGGGGGGTTTACGACAATAGGGGACCCCTAGTATAGACCCCCCAAATAATGGGATTCCCCTACAAGAAGGACCCCAATAACCCCCATTTTCGTAAACACCTGTATGGGTTGGGGGCTTCTACGGGAGGGGTGTAACAGGGGTGTAGGGTTTATAAGGGGTTTGAGGCTTCGGGCTTATAAGGGGCTTAGGGCATAGGATGTAGGACTTGTGAGGTTTCATTATTGTTTGGGTTTTCGGCGGGCGGGGGGGGGGGGGTTATTTCCAAGCGTGCCTAAGCCGCGTCCGCGACACTGCTGAACTGACGCACTTACAAACAGATACCTTAATCCCAAAGCCCTAAAGTTTAGGGGCTCGGGTTTAGGAGTACTGGGGCCCGAAAAGCAGTTGCTGCAGGGTCAAACTACATGGACAACCACCCTAAACTCCCCTAAAAACTCCCCACAGCTCCACAAACAACACAACCTTAGACTCGAAACGAAACCCTAGACCGGTCTAGGGCTTAGGGTTTAGGGTTTCGGGGGCATGTGCACTTTCTCCTGTACAACCCCTACCTTCACCCCTCTAAACTGGATACTAAAACTCCCTGCACAATGCACAGTACGAAGACTTCCTACACCCTATTAAAGGCTCCACTGGCGATCAAAGCCTCGACGTCACCAAAACTCTATAACCCTAAGGGCTAAACCCCCCCAAACAACTTAAACCCTAAACCCTAACCCCCCGCCCTCCCCAAAACTAAACCCTATAAGCCCTTAAAGAAAAGCAAAAAACCCTAAACCCTAACCCCCCCCCCCCAAAACAGCCTAAACCCCATAAACCCTCAAGCCCCTTAAACAGAAACCTGAACACCAAACCCTTGGCTGCACTTAGCAGGGTAGCTATCAGTCTAATTAATTTAATTTTTAGCTGCCTTATTCAGAGGCACAATGAGCCCAAAAGGGCTAAGGATCTAAAGCTACAGTAAAGCACCACAGAGAAACCTTGGATGGCCCGCAAAGCCCACTGAATACGGTTTAGGGTTTAGGGTTTAGGGTTTTAGGGTTTAGGGTTTAGGGTTTAAAGTATAATCGGCTTAAACCCAATAATATAGGGAAACATAACATATCCCAAGGGCCAACATCATTACCTAGAACCCTAAAAGCCCAAAGCCCTAAACGCGAGCGTAAACGCTAAACCCTCAGAAGATCCTCCGAAACCCCGCAGCCCTGACCAAGCCCTAAACCCTAAACCCTAAACCCTAAACCCTAAACCCTAAACCCTAAACCCTAAACCCTAAACCCTAAACCCTAAACCCTAAACCCTAAACCCTAAACCCTAAACCCTAAACCCGAACCCTAGCAACCAAATCTCAAGCTCTGCTGGCCTTTGCGGCAAATCGTAGGGAGGCCAGCGTCTCCTGAATCTAGAGATTGCAGTTGCAGGGTTTCGGGTTTAGGGTTTAGGATTTAGGGTTTTAGGGTTTTTCAGGGTTAGGCCCCAAACACCAAACCCTCAAACCCTAAACCCCAAACACCGCGCCCCAGCAGCCCCAAAGGCACTAAACCCGACCACCCGGCATGGGCCCTTCCCGACATCGGGGTCTCCAAATAGAATAAAGTGGCCCCAATAGAAGATAGGCCCTAAACCCTAAACCCTACACCCTAAACCCTAAACCCTAAGCCTCATTTTCAACAGCAGTGCCTTTCTATGTTCGGAACCCCG